ACTTAACCTAAATGACTTAAACACAACTAATATATGACATTGACATATATTATATATGTTATTATGACCATTAAAGTTTGGGAACACTGCCTAAATTGGGGTATCACCCGTTTTTATGAAGAAGTGCGCGCGTTTTACTTCTGCATTCCGGTCGTCTCGAACAGTAGATAAGCTGTGGTTAAGTTCACCGGCTTTTGTTCTTATGTATGCCAATGTCATGTGCCAACAGGGAAATTGCTGCTTTTCCTGCTGCCAGAAGGCATTTCAAGCACTCATGACCCTAGGGATGAGAAACACCTTTTTTTAGTATAACTATTTATTTAGTGAACTTTTTTTTTTACTACGTATGAATAGTATATGATGTATTTACTTTCGTCAGCACTATATTTTCATAATTTATGAAACAAACTTATATTTCAATGTTATATAATGTAAAACCAATAATCTGACATTTTAAAACACAAAATTGTGTTGTGAGTAATAGACTGCTTCGGGTTTACTCTTGTGTATCTGTAACATTGTACCTTGGCATCAGGTGCTCTTGGCTCTTATCCATGTACAAGTACTGTCTGGATATATGTAGTCATATGGAACCAACAAGCAGCTCATTCAATTGTTCAGCCTGCAATTAAAGGACAGTAGAATTCACCGTTTTCAGTTTTATGTTGTTTTGATCGCCAGCATGCCAACTTGGCTAAGTCTCAAACAGTATGACATAACTGCTGTATAATACTTTAAGTCCACACAGTGTTACCATTTATTTCGATATGCTTATCGATCCACCTGATCATTTCTTATAATTGATGGTGTTGATAAAGTTTCCCACCTACCCTTCACAACTCAAAGTGCGAAAAAAGCCAGTTCCCCTGGCGTTCGAGCAACTACACTAGCAATGTTCTACTGGTTCTGCCACATATGCATTAGCTGTCAGGCACCGATCTCACAAAGAAGGTTACGTCATTTAATTGGTAAGACGAGTGCAAAGATGCCCTTGGCAAGCTATGGAATGCTGCTTAACCGATGTCCGCTGGCTGGCCTTATTTTACAGGTCGACCCGTGGTGAGTTCATCCTTCGTGCTAGCAGCTGACTTTGTTATCCATGTAACTACATGAATAATTGGGTTGATACCTCCCCTACACAGGCAAGCGCAAGAGGAGTCCAGATGCAACATGAACTTTGCTGATGTTTCGGCCAAGGTGATGATGTGGGTG